AACAATGTTCAGCAGCCACCAGCCAGAAATATGATTTCCATTCATTTGAAACGGTATGCAGTCGAGAACCTACCTTCTCAATGAGGTTCAAAGAAGACAGCACATTGGCAATGTCATACAATCGACGAACTTTGGCTGCTTTGTGAATATTAGAATCATTGTGAGTTCTATTTGGGTAGGAAAGGCATTTGACAGAAGCATGGAACTAAACAAAAGGAATGCATGTACTAACTTCTCATGTTGCTCTCTGCATGTCCCTCTCCAAGGAGAAGCTTTGCACCTTCGTCAAGTGAGATTGTTTCAACCTGCACGACATACAAGCCCCAATACAGTTAAGTGCGAAAGGGAAATAACCTGAACCATACAGGGTGAATTCAGTCCTTTGACCTCCATGGTGAGGAAGAGCTTGACAAAATTCTGAGTGAGGAGCCCAAGGGACTTCTCCTTCCGATGATCTAAGAATACAGCAAAACCAAAACTTTAAGTGAGCACACAACATAAAAGATAGAAGGCTCCAGGTAAAACAAGAACACAACTAAGCAGCTATACCAGATCTAAGGCGGCAGCTGGGTGCATCAGGCTTATCAGACGTATTGTCGACAGACTGGCTGAGCTTCTCGCTCTCAGCATCTTCATCAGCATCGCCCAATTTTTCATCATCCTCGTCATCTGATAACTTTGCAATCACAAAACCCAAACAAGTTTGATACACCAACAGCAGGCATTTTGTAACAAGGCCAATGGCAAGCAAATCCAGTTGAAGAGAACTAACGTTGGCAGTAGAGGAGTCCTCCATTGGCAGTAACACCGGTGATCCGGACATCTCCCTTAACGCCCTCTCCTGATCGAACCAAACACGATTGAGAAAAAAAAGGGGAAATTGTGGGTAATGAGGTTAGCAATGGAAGCTAAGATGGGTGGGATTCAGAACTGCGGGATCGAATCCAGACCTTGAGTTCTTTCAGCGCAGCAGGGACTCCCCCGAATCCGAGCCATGTATACCGATTCTTGGCCCTCCGCACAAGAATCTGCAAGCCGTCACAGGATAAGCACATCACGGTTTGACAGAACAAGACCGCGAAATCGCATTCCAAGAAGGAAATTCACGGCTCACCCCTACGCTCTCGAGAACGTTGACGATGTCGTAGATCCGGCGGCGCTCGACGCCGAGCCGCTTGGCCGCGTCGTCCAGCCCAATCACCTCCACGTCCTCCCGGTCGTACAGCGCCACGAAGCTTCAAGAAGGAAGGAATGGAACCAAAGGTCAAAGGTCAAAGCACCGCACGCCGCGAGCACCCCGCGCGAAACCGAGGGCGTGAGAAGCGGAGAGCTGTGGCCATACTTGGAGCAGAGAAGGCCGAGCGACTTCTGCTTGCGGCTGTACGCGTGGTGGTGGCAGCCTCGCGCGACGCCGCTGCCGCTGCCGGCTCCCTGCACGGGCACGTGCTCCTGCGGATCCACCGGCGGCTGCTGGGCGGCGGCCGCGGACGACTCGGCGCCGGAGAAGGAAGGCCCGGGGGCGGGGGCGGGGGCGGCGGCATCCATCGCGGGCGCGCGAGCTGGGAGGGTTTGGCTCACGCGGTGCGGGAGGGGGAGAGGAGGGAATCACTCTTTCGCTTGAAGTAATTTATTTTTTTGATTGTCCTTTGGTCCCGTAGATCTGCGGAACTAGCTGGGGAGAGAATTCACGCGAGGCCGTTGGGGTAATTTGGCGCCCGCCACAGCGGATCCGCAACTTTTCAAACGCCTCCACCCCGCGTTGCCGCGGCTTTCCACTTCCAGTGCCTGGGCGCGCCTAGTCGGAAGAAAGAACATGTTCGGCAGGACTGGAAAATACTGTTTCGACTGATTGTTGTGAAAAAAATATTATTTTAGCAAGATGTGAATAGTGATTTTATAAGATGGCTGGCCAGTCGGCAATCAGCCAGCCAGCCAGCCGAACACAGCCAAAATTAAGTGGATACAGGCTCCACCTCCTCCCCATGCATACCCAGCTTGGATGGTAGACGCGTGTGCATGGAGGGCAATCAAACGGCCCGTTAGAGTCGGCTCCTCCAAAGATATTTCCCACGTGCTCGTCTCTAGTAGCACCCACGACAGTAGCGCCCACCATCCAGGATAGCAGAGCGAAGACACGTGTCAAGTAATCAGGCTAGATATGTGTCGGTGCGAAAAGTGACCGATCAGTAAATATTTGTCGTTTTGCCGTACGTTGTGATCGGATGTGGTCTAGCACTCAATGACACAGGGGTTATACTGGTTCAGGCAACGTGCCCTACGTCTAGTTTGAGTCGGTCGGTGACTTTATTCCCGAGCCCAGGTGCTCGAAGTTTGCTGTGGGGTTACAAATGAGAGGGCGTAAGAAGGAGGGTGTTAGAGGTCCGGTCGGACTATGGACCGAAGGGCCAAGAGTGACGGGAGCTCCTACGTGCGCTAAGTATTCGAACGTGTGCTCTGTGTAGCTTTAGAATGTCTAAAGCTAGCAGAGAATGAGCTGGAATGATTCGTGTATTGTTCGTTGTTCTGTGTCGTTCGATCGTCTCAATCGTCTCTGTTGGGAGAGGGTGCATTCCCTTTTATAGATGAAGGGGACGACCTTACAAGTGAAAGAGAGAGAGTGTGTGCTACCTAGTCTTATTGCCCACGCCGTCGGATACAAGACGGTTTGTCGGCGCCCACAATACTGTTGACGCCCAGATGCATGCGGTTGGTTCTATCGTGTTCTTCTGGTGTGGCAAATGTTGACGCCTACCATACCGTAGGACAAATGTTGACGCCTACCATACCGTAGGACAAATGTTGACGCCTACCATTCTGTAGGACAAATGTCGGTGCCCACAACATTGTTCGTTGTTCTGACATGTCTTGAAGGTTATAAAGGACCCTTCTTACATGACATGACAGTACTGTCCTGCAGGTGTGCAGGGTACGGTTCTTGGTATTGCGGTTTTGACTTGAGCACCCTGTCTTACTTGCCCCGCCTAATTCTTTGGGTCCCTACCGAGCGGGCGTCTCTGCTCATTGCTTTCGATCGTTTTCGATTGGCTCCGGCCGGGAGAAGAGTCAGAAGGTGATGTTCGTGTACTCCGGTCGGAGAGGCGGGTCGGAGTCGGAAGCGAGCGTCGTCCCCTCCTTGGCCAGGCCTTCCGGTCGGAGAGGCGGGTCGGAGTCGAAAGCAAGCGTCGTCCCCTCCTTGTCCAGGCCTTCCGGTCGAAGACTGGATGGCTCTTCCGGCCTGTCGTTTAGGTATCTGGGCCGCCCTAGGAGTTACGCGTTCGCAACGTCGTCTGCTGGGGCGAGCTTTTGCTGGGAAGCAGGTTCATTAAGAACCCCGGGTTTATTAACCCGACAGTATGCATGGCACCACGGTGAATGCGGTTTCCATGCAATTTTTTTCTACCTAGTCACGGTGGATTGGTTCGACATTCTTTAAACTTTTCACACTTCAGTTAAAAAAAACTTTCACACTCCAACAGTTTAATTAGGAGAATCATTTGAATATAAATTGTTTTTTTATATCTTTTTATCTTTTAACAGTTTCTCTATATTTATAGGCACTTTAAAGAGCCAGTCACGCTCTCTATCTTTAACTAGCGATAAGTCAAGACCAAAAATATCAATATTTGAAGATTTAATTGAAAAAAAAAAGTTGTTGGAGGTAAGACTTAGAGTTGCTAATATGTTTTTTTTTGGACTGCTTCGTTACATAGAAAATCAACTCTATGTACTAAGAATCTATTTGAGACTATTTGCTTTATATATTTTCTAACATAAAATCTTACGGGGGCTTGTCATGCAGACATCTATGGCTTCGGCCGCCAAGCCTCTCACCGGAAGGAGGGGGCCTCCGGCCTCATGCAGGCATCGATGGCTTCGGCCGCCAGGCCTCACGCGAAAAGGAGCTTGCCGGAGGAGATTTGCGAGATTGACGGCTGCCGTGAGTGAACCTGACGAGCGGTGGGACGAGACGGCTACAAGGTGACGCAAAGCACCCAAAACCTGGGCCCGATGCCTCGTGCGGTTGCATACTTGCATGCACGGAACCTGGCCCAGGAGATACGCTTGAATCAAACATCTCCGCTGATGCAGACGGCACCTTATATTTGCATGACTGGAACCGAGTTGGAACAGTGAAAACAACCATCCAAACGTATTTCATAGAGTTGGAACAGTGAAAACAACCATCCAAACGTATTCCAGGACGGAGAAGATGCGACCAATCAATTCCACCATAGATTCAAGACCGAGCGCTCGAGTGGCTAGCGACGAAGTGGCCACACAGCCAGTGTGGGCTACATAGGTTTTGTTTAAAATTAGAGGCTAAAGTTTAGGGATGTTCCCTTAAGTATCATATCGGGATGTCACATGAAAATATTTGGACAGTAATAATAAAATAAATTACAGACTCCACGAGACGAATTTATTAAACCTAATTAATCCGTTATTAGCATATATTTACGGTAACTTTACTGTAACATCACATTGTCAAATTATGGACTAATTAAGCTTAAAAAATTATCTCGCAAATTAATCATAATTTGTGCAATTAGTTATTTTTTAGTTTATATTTAATACCTCATGCATGTGTCTAAATATTCGATAGGATAGGGACTAAACTTTAGAGGAAAGAACTAAACAAGACCATAATTATATTCTTGGAATCAGACTAGCGTCTCTCACCAAGACTCGCTCCCAAATAAAATCTACAACCTCTCTAGCATGGTGCTACAAAGAAATTGTGATGTTCCCGTCGCCTGCAAACTACAATGGTTCTGGCAGGTGATCTCTAAAAGAACACGGTCTTCTACTCTACGTGTAGTTGTAGATCTAAGTGTAGCTCGACGAGAGGTGTAAGAAAACACACACTCTGGTTCATCGGTTTGTGCACCTGATATGCTGTGAACAAATATTACATAATAGAGGGAATAATAAATATGGTACAACTCGAATAGTTTATACACAGAAACCCAAAGTTTACATTGGGCGGGCCAGTGTAATACTTAACTTCTTCCTAAAGGATCCAGCGACTGAGGCTTCAATTTCAGAGATGCACTGCATGGAAAAAGGATAACAGTGAGCACAAGAACTAACAATTTAATTAACATTTTTTTGTGAATTACAATTTAATTAACCTATTTGCCCCATGGTTTCAATATTTTCCCAGATTTATTGCAGCTATGGCAGCACGATACTGGAACCAGATGCTCTGCAGTACACCCCTCTCCAACCTGTTCAGAGGAAAGTACTGGCAGATGCTGTTTTCACTTCACTGCCAACTTTCTTTATGTGCACCCTGGCTCTACCCAAAGTTGTTATCAAGCAAATTCACAAGTATAGAAAACAATGTCTATGGAGGGGGGCCGATATAAATGCAAGAAAACCACCAAAGGCAGCCTGGAAGATGGTCTGTAAACCCAAAGAGGAGGGAGGTCGGGGAGTAATTGATATTGAAAAGCAAAACAAGGCACTACTCATCAAAAACTTCCACAAATTCTTCAACAAGCTTGATCTGCCATGGGTGCATCTGATTTGGGTAAAGCACTATAGGAATGGGAAACTTCCAACTCACATAAGAAAGGGGGTCCTTTTGGTGGAGAGATGTTCTGAAGCTCCTCCCTGAGTTCAAAACTAGAGCCAGCCCCCATGTGGAAAAATGGAGAAAGTTCATTATTTTGGCATGACAATTGGGCCAACCAGTCTCTAGCTAATTCAGCCCCTGAGTTGTTCTCTTTTGCAAGAAATAAATTGTTGTGTAGAAAGCCTTCAGTCAAGAAGATTTTACAGATTTATTCCAACTGCCTCTGTCCCAACCTGCTTATCTGCAGATGCAAGACATCCAGCAGCTAACAGAAGACATGCCTCTCACTGAAGACAACGACAAATGGTTTTACACCTGGTGCTCCAGCATCTTTACCTCGGCCAAAGTCTATAGAATTCTAGTTGGACATTCAGAAATCCATCCCACTTTCAAATGGCTATGGAAGAGCCAATGCCAACCAAAACATAAAGTCTTCTTTTGGCTTCTAATCTAACTATCAAAGACAGGCTCAGTACCAAAAATATGTTGAGAAGAAGAAGCATGCATATGGACTCCTATAATTGTGTTTTGTGCAAAATCTCCTTGTGGAAGAATCAGTTGGTCATCTTTTTGTGGATTGCCCATTTGCAAGGATGTGCTGGGATATTCTAAACATTGACATCCCATTGGATGGCAGCTTCCCAGAATTAACTTCTCAGCTAAAGACCCAACTGAACTCTCAGTTTTTCATGGAGTCCATAATTCTTTTATGTTGGGCTATTTGAACAGCAAGAAATGACCTCATCTTCAAAGGAATCAGAATGAATCTGCCACACTGCAGGCGTGTCTTCTTTAAAGAGCTTAAACTTCTTCAGTACAGAGTGAAGACAGGACAAGAAGAGCAGTTTTCTTCATGGATACAAAATCTGGAATAGCAAGCCTTCTGAAGTTGATCTTCTTTGTTTCTTTTTTCGTTTCTTAGACCGTGCTTCCTACAAGCTCTGTTCTTTTCTGCTTTTTTGTACTTTTCTGCAACTTTTTAAATCTCTAATAAATTACTATAGGGGCTTTGGCCCCTCCAGATTCTTTAAAAAAAAAGTACTGGCAGGTGGCCTCATTGTCAGTGACTCACTGCACAGGAAAGTACTGCAGGGAGGACTCACAATCCCATGATATATTACCACTACCGAAACTTGTGCAAGCCTAACCTCAAGAGTTAGAGAGGACAGTGGTAATGTGGATATAAACGGAAGCAAAGTTATACCTGTTGATACAGTATCTCTGCCCTGTTGGTGGTGGCCCGTCATCAAAGACATGCCCCAGATGAGCATCACAGGCAGCACAGAGCACCTCGGTCCGGGGCATGAAAATGATTGACATATCAAGCTTGCTCTTGACATTTTTGCCAATTGGTTTATAGTAGGATGGCCATCCGGTACCACTATCAAATTTGGTTGATGACCTGAAACATCATCAAAGCATCAGTGGTGCAGAATAATTAGCAGAATCACAGATGAGATTCCAGAAAAGAAAATTTCAAACGAAGAAATATGAAGCTATTTCTCTTGGCTGTCCACGTGTGGTTGCTTACTCAAACAGAGGGGTGTCGCAGCAGACACAGTGATAAATGCCTGGGGTTTTAGTATTCCAGTATTCCCTGATATATAAAAAAAAAACAGACGATGTTCTCAGCACCATTCTGCTGAGTAAGATGCTCTGCATCTTATGTACCCAGTGAATAATAGTTTGAGTAGATAAAAAATAGTGGGCAAAAGAAGATTAATAATTTGAGTGGATTGCAAAAGAATTTGAATAACAGCCACTTGGTAACATACCCAGTGAATGCTCTCTCAGTGCCCTTCTGCCGAGTAACATAATACTGCTCTTTAGTCAGGCGCTTCTTCCACTCTTCTTCACTCAGTGATGTATAATCTGCTTTCCCTGTTTCGACACGCCAAAGTATTGGCTTTTAGTCCAATATTTCTTCAAAGAGTTTGTACCACATACTGGGTCACTGCTAGAACATCCAAATTCCAAATCACATAACAAGTGCAACAAATTTGTTTAATTTATTCGAAGGAAAGGGCGGTGCTTAACAACAAAAAAGAGACCAAATATTGAAGGCATACATTCTATCTGAAATAGTATTTTACTTCAAGCATGAATGCATCACGTGAACTCTGATTGTTCCCGAAAGCCACTGTAAACAAAAGAAAAGATAGAACAAGAATATACATCTTAATGATACTATTAATTGCAACTGTCTTTACCAGGCACAACAAAGTGTACAATCTTTTACAGGAAGAATCATTTCTTTCATGTTTGATGTTTCTCAATGTTATATTTTCTGATCTTTCTAGAAAAGGATTTTAATTGGGTACTTATCACCAAGGACCAGATTACTTAATAGCTGATGGACAAACCTACAGTTCAAAAATTACCCAGGAAGGAAGCTGAGCTAGCTCAGCTGGTCAAGGGTGTGGATGTATACCCAGACCACCCAGGTTCAAGTCCTTGTTGAGATAAATTTGAGTGCCTATTTTCTTCTTCTTCTTAATTAATAAAATGCCACCTAGTTCCTCCTAAGTTGGTCTAGTTTTTTTTTTTAAATACCCAGGAGAACTTTTGCACTAGCAACTTCCGAAAAAACTCTTGATGAGACAAAGGATTTGCTGCATCTGTTACATTTCTGTCAAGTTAGTTTGTTGCCTTTTGACATTGCCATTTCATTTTTCTCTTGATGCAAGATTTCATGACTTGTCTGAAAAAGGGCATCAATCATGTAAGTTTAAAGCCCAGAAGCATTTCCGCACTATCATATTTTAATATCTTTTGGACAGATAAAAAAACTTTGCTGCTTGTGCTACCTATTCCCTTTAGTTAAAACAAAATCAGAATAATTTTGGTACTCTGAACCTATGTTATCAATTATGAATTCCCTTGGAATAGAAAGGGAATGGGGCTACATCTGAGTGAGCTTCTGGCGAACAATTAGTTTTGTTGCTTTGTGATACCAACCACCATTTTTCATCCATTGTTGCCCCAAGAAATTGGCACGATTCCCAAATGAAGTATCCAATCCCCAAACCAGTCCGGAACTAAAGTAGGAGGCCTACTGTCTGGTTTGCCAAAATTAGACTCAGGACACAAATCGTTGCCCGCGTAGGTTAATCAACATCAGTTTAGTCCACCTTCTTGTTCCACTCACATCGGTGGACTAGTCGGTTCATCATCTAATACAATTTATAAAAATCAATAATCTAAAGAATCTATGTCGAGAAGAAGCCATCTACTTCGGGGGGAAACCCATAAATCCAACTTCTCCAAACACCGAAGGCACATAGACTAGAACACGCTGTACAATCACTTGCGGTAGAAAAAGTAGGAAGTTAGATTAGAAGAGGCGAAAGAACCGCACGGCACCTTTGGTTTGTCCTGAAGGCGTGTGCGGCGACGGGGATTGCGACGACGACGACGGCGCAGAGCCCATGGCGCGGACGGCGCGGAGCCTGTAGCTGTACCCACCGGCTCCACCGCAGGCCCACGCTCCTCCTACCTGCCTCGGACACGCCGCCGAGGGAAGCGCCGCGGCTGTGAAGGAAAAGGAGGAGGAGAGGTCGTGCGCTCCTGCTCTGACCACGGAGGCAGCTGCGTAGCACCGGGCCGCCATCGGTCAGGTTTTGTATTGTGACACGGAGCTCTGGTGCTTGGTGGATGGCGCGCCTATGCTAGTGCTGGTAACTGCAAAACGGTGCGTGCAGCCAGGCGCAGCGTGTGGGTTGTTCCGTGGCCAGCGATGGCGAGACGTGGCCGAGCGGCATCGGCACACCGCACACGCAGCTGCGGCGTCGGCGCCTGGAAGAAACAGGCAGAAGGCTCGGTTCGGCTCGGCACTCGGCACACCGTCTAATCGGATTGTTGTGCAGTGGAACAAAACGCAAGGCTTATATCATCTGTTTCAATATATCTTAAAATGAGACTACCATGATTACGATGATGTTTGGAACAGGCAGTCCGTCTGTTCGGACGCGCTCCTGTTGGTGGAGCATGGGCCACGACTCCTATCCCAAATGACCCCTGCTTATCCGCTTGTCCAGCTTTTGAGTCACCGTAGTTTCTGAGAAATCACCGCAGCGGAGCTCGGACCACACATAGCTCACGCTCCGTCCGCGTAGCTCGCGGCGGCCGGTCGGGGCGGAGACCACCCCTGCACATATCATGCTCCGCCTACCCAGCTCGTCACGGCTTGAAGCTCGTCCGCATGCAGCTCATTGTAGCTCGGTCAGAGCCTTGTCCGCACACATCTTGCGCTCCGCCTGCCGAGTTCACCATGGCCGGGGCGAAACTCGCCGGTGCACAGCTCGTAGCGGAGCTCACTCACCCCGCGCACAGCTTACGCTCCACCTGTACAGTGTGGAGACCCACCGTGGCCTTCTCCACATAACATGTCGTGGCCTTCTCTACCGGAACGGCGATCTCCGTGCTATCGGCAAGCTCTACATCGGTGAACTTCACGTGCCGACGAGCCTCCATTCTCCCAGGCAGCATAGAGATGTTGCTCTAAAACCGCATGTTGCAAGCGTATGTTTCAAGTGTTTCAATATTTTAGAGATATGTTGCAAGTATTTCATATGGATGTTGCAAAAGTATATCCGGATATCGCATATATTGCAATAGATGTACATGTATATTGCAAGCATATGTTCCAAATGTTTCATCTGTTTTCAGACGTACGTTGCAAGTGTTTTATCTGGATGTTGCATATATTTCACACATATGTTACAAATATTTTGTCTGGATTTTCCATATGTTCGCTATGGTTTTCAAGTGTTTTTAGGTGTTTTGCAAGTGTTTCAGACATATGTTGTAAATGTTTCAGCTGTTTCGTACGTATGTTACAAGTGTTGCATCTGGATGATACAAAGCTAGATCTGGTGTTACTCATGGTGCAATGGGTCCACCTACCATAGCCGCCTGCTGCAGCTGCTGGGGCGGCGCCTAGTGGGCGCAAACTTCTGAGTAGGTCCTCACGTGCGGTCAGACGACGCGGGCCTGAAAGATCCTAATGGCTAGAGGAGGGTGAATAGCGTATTAAAAATTTCTACAATAACACTTAACAAACCTGTTAGACAAATATGAGGCGAAGCGAGTGTTGCGCTAGCCTACTAAAAATGCAAGCCACCTACCACAATCCTAGTTTCTATAGTCTATATCCACACAATGACCATGTCACTACACTAAGTTAGTGTACTCTCAAAGGCTAACTAAAGAGACACACTAACCAAACTAACAAGCTCTCACGATTAGTTACACTAAAGAGCTTGACAACTAGTTTACGGTAATGTAAAGAGAAAGAGCAAGATGGTTATACCGCCGAGTTGAGAAATGAACCAATCAATCACAAGAATGAAGACCAATTACCTCGAAATCAAATGATGACAATGATTTTTTATCGAGGTTCACTTACTTGCCGTCAAGCTAGTCCTCGTTGTGGCGATTCACTCACTTGGAGGTTCACGCGCTAATTGACATCACACGCCAAACCCTCAATAGAGTGCCGCACAACCAACATAAAATGAGGATCACACAAGCTACGAGCAATCCACTAGAGTACTTTTTGGCTCTCCACCGGGAAAATGTCAAGAACCCCTCACAATCACCACGATCGGAGCCGGAGACAATCACCAACCTCCGCTTGACGATCCTCGCTGCTCCAAACCGTCTAGGTGGAGGTAACCACCAAGAGTAACAAGCGAATCCCGCAGCGAAACACGAACACCAAGTACCTCTAGATGCAAACACTCAAGCAATGCACTTGGATTCTCTCCCAATCTTACAAAGATAATGAATCAATGATGGAGATGAGTGAAAGGGCTTTGACTAAGCTTACAAGGTTGCTATGTCAATGCAAATGTCCAAGCTGACGAGCTAGAGCCGGCCACACGCCTTAAATAGAGTCGTTGGCTCCTCAGTCCTCTGAAATTTGGGTTGACCGAACGCAAGACCCCAGTGTCCTGTCCTCAGATTTTCGCCACGTGTTCCCGGCTTCAAATGCTGATCGTCCGATCTCAACGGTCATCAGTGCACTTAAGTTGTGACCGAATGCATAGGCAAGCTGATCGGACGCACCACGCCCGCATCAGGTCCTCACGCGCCTGCGCACCAACACCCGACGACCGGACGCACCGATGGACTGACCGGATGCTCCAATAACGTGGAGTCCGGTCACTTCCAGAGAGCATCTAGAGCCACATTTTCTCGATCGGACGTGTCCAATCATAGGCGACAGGACGCGGACCAGAGTCCGGTCCTTACTGGCCTATTCAGATGCTTTCATCAGCGTACGTCATCACCTGACCGAACGCACCTCCTGCGTGTTTGGTTCTCTTTCTTCTCAGCGTCCGATTAAAGAACCGAGGGCGGCCTTCACTGCGCGCTACTGACCGAACGCGGGATCAGAGTCCGGTCACTGCCCAAGTGTAGGGTCGAGATGGCGACTAGAGGGGGGGTGAATAGTCGTTTTTAAAACTTAATCGCGTCGGCTAACCGAAACAAGTGTGGAATTAAAACTATCGGTCTAGCCAAGACTACACCCGTCTATCTATGTTCTCTGGCACCTTGCAAAGATCCTAATTAAGCAACAAAGGTGCCGGGTTAGCTAGAGCTCACCTAACCAATTCTAGGAGCAAGGTCACACAAACCTATGCCACAGTATTTCAAGCAATGAGGGAGCTCCTACACATGCTAATAAGCAAAAGCACAAAGCTAACTAAGCTCACTAGCAATGCTCAATAACAAGGCAACCAATGCCAAATTAGAGAGCGCAAATACTTAGCTACACAAACTAAGCAAAGTGACTAACAAGGTTACACAAACCAAATTAGCCACGCAAGGGAGCTACTTCTATGCTACACAAGCAAGAAGGTAACTAGTGAGCTACATAAGCTAACTAATTACAAGAGCAACTACACAAGCACAATGTATATAAAAGTAATCACAAGCTTGTGTAAGGGGATTGCAAACCAACGGGAAGAACAAGATTGACACGGTGATTTTCTCCCGAGCTTCACGTGCTTGCCAACATGCTACGTCCCCGTTGCATCGACCGCTCACTTGGAGGTTCGGCGGCTAATTGGCATCACCCGCTAAGTCTGCACGTCGGGCACCGTAAGAACCTACCCTGAAAGTGAGGGTAGCTCAATGACACGCTCAACTAGAGTTGCTCTTCGCGACTCCCGCGGGGCAAGCACAATGCCCTTCACAAAGCTCTTCTTCGGAGCACCGCACAAGCTTCTTGCGGGCTTCGACGGAGACCACCACCAAGCCATCTAGGAGGTGGCAACCTCCAAGAGTAACAAGCACCACCGGCTTACAACTCGATCACCTAGTGCCACTCGATGCAATCTCACAATGCAACGCACTAGAATTACACTCACTCGCAATCGATTCGCACTCTTGCAAGCACAAGTGAGTTAGAGGGCATCCAAGCACTCCTACACAAGCCACATAGGCGTGAGGGTGCTCAGCAACCAGCCCAAGGCCGGCCACACACTCCTTTTATAGCCCCAAGGGCTAAAATAGCCGTTACCCCTTCATTGGTCAAAACACGCACTGACCGGACGCGAAGGTCATAACGACCGAATGCTGAAACCCAGCGTCCGGTCACTTACAGAGAGGTTCCAGCGATGTTTTCAAACACTGACCGGATGCTGTGACCGGACTCGTAGGTGCTGACCGAACGCTGGCTCGATCGTTTTTGGCGCCAGCGTACGGTCACAGACCTTTCAGCGCTAAAATGACTATAATTCTTAGCTTCGAACTCCGATTTCGATGATCTTGGATATTTTGGAAAGCTTACTCAGAGGGCTACACATCCCACATGCATACTTGATCCAAATCACAATGGATCAAAATAGTATTCCAATCCAAGGACCATCCTATAGTTCGGAGTACACCGAAAAACCTTTTTCTCTTCTCTAAGTTGATTCACAACAACTCTAACTTCTTCTCCTTTGCAAATATGCCAACATCACTAAGTGTGCACCACCATGTGTATGTGTGTTAGCTTTTCACAAACATTTTCTAAAGGATTAGTCACTCAACTTGCCATGCCACTCGATCCTAGCGATGATGCAAAGTTAGATCACTAGAGTGGCACTAGATGACCGATATGCAAACAAGTTTGCCCCTCTTGATAGTACGGCCATCTATCCTAAACCCGGTCATCAACTTCTCTACACACCTATGACTGGTGAAATGAAATACCCTAGGTTATACCTTTGCCTTGCGCATTCCAATTCATCTCCTCCAATGTCGATGCAACACATGCACCAACATGATCGACAATGATATGATCCACTTCATATCATCACGTGATCATATTGGTTGATCGATCTTGACTTCACTTGCTTTTCACCATTGCCTTCGTCCATCGGCGCCAAGTCTTGCTCAAGCTTCACCACCACGCGGTCCATCGCTACAAAGCCTCCAACTTGCCCTTCACGCTTGCAACCAGTCCATCAAGCCAAGTATTGTCTTGATCTTCTTCACCTTGATCACATGACTCAATGTCATGTCTCATGTGCAATAAGCTCCTTCATCATCACATGTGTGAGCTTTGCAACATCTCCAAGCCATTTTCACCTTCATGGCATATGTTGCTCACACATA